ACACGGAATTTCTTCAATAGATGTTCCGTTGATGCTCAATTGTAAATTTTCTCTGCATTTTCGTGGCCAACTCGGATTTGAATCTACCCGGTCAGGGAATCCTATAAATTAATTTATAATCCAAGTTAATTACAAATTTAGGCCACAAAATTGAGAATTTGCTCCTTAGAATGATACATTTCACCTTGTCCTATGCTTTGTAAAATCCTTATGTGAATTTCAGAGTTTTTTTCTTTCCTTAGCTGCCAAGACGGCGTTGAGCACATTTCTCTTTTCCAAAGAAGCTTCTCAGCTAGAGAAAGATTTGATTAAAAGTCTCAAGGTAAAAATTTCAAAGCTCGCCATATTTCAATAGATAAAGTAGTCCACGATGTTACTGAACTTCAAGTCACTGATAGCATGAATTGCATTTAAACAGTCAGTCGCTCTTCACAACTTTTATGGAAACCACTACTGACAGTGCTCTACGATTGTTTTAAAACTCAGTCATTTTCCATTCTATTTGTAGGACAACGATCTTTCGCGTTACATTCCAGGAAAAGTGAAAGTTTCAGCACCAAACCTTCAGAAAAAGAAGAAGAAATAATCAATTACAATGCAGATTACACTTTATCCAAAGAAATAGTGTTAATAAACCGCAACGTTGTTAATGGACAGAGTGTTGAGTGTTTTTTCTTCCTTTATTACTATTATTATTATTATTATTATTATTATCATTAATTACATTATTCTTTTAGTTTCCAGGTCTTTTACTAACGGTCTCGTAACTTATTTTACATTATCCATTTTAACCATCAAATATTGACGTAAACGCGTCACGTCACCAAAAACTGGGAATTTTTAGGTGGTATCCGCCATTTTCTGCATCGTAGGTGCAATATGATGAGTCTCCTTTAATGTGGTAATCCTCTTAAGATGGGAGAACATTTGACTGAATATTCGTCACCCCAAGCAGTCAACGTTTTGACGGCAAGCTTTTCGTAGATGCTGTACCAAACACTCAGTGACAAAACATTTAATAGATAATTGACACAAGTCTCTATTTGGATGAAAGGTAGGCCTGTATATTTGTCCTCAGGAATTATCTGCTCCGAGAGATGATCAGTTTTCAGGGGCCAACGTGACTAACTGACTTTTCACTTCTGTTTGTGCGAAACTTGACCATGTTTGTCGGCAGCATCAAAGCGAGGCCGTTACGTTTTTTTTTTTTTTTTTTATCTTCGCCGAATATCCTCAGAGAAAATGTTCAAGAAAGAACTCGTTTTAAAGCTTCAATACATCGGTGCACATGCAGAGCGAAAACGATTATGAAGAATCCAAATCAGCTGCAGGCATCTGATAAATTTATGTAATGCTTGGTGCCGAGATCATTAGTTATCGCAGTCCTCATTTCTTTTCACTATGCCTCTGATTAAATTATTTAAATTAATGGATTATTATCAGATTGCACCTTGATTTGTTATGATTGTTTTTTAGGTTCCTTTAGGTCTGGTACATTTTTTTTTCCAAATTAAAATAACAGTGAATAATCGGTCGAGTGTACTTCAGTTGTTGTATTTCTGTAATTTGTGGGCTCTAAATTATTTTCACAAGAGCTTCATCCACAAGTGAAATTCACAATAACATCAAGAAGATGAAACATTTGCCTCTTACTTGATGGTACTCATAATTTTTCTTTGTTGTCTTCCTCAGACTTAAAACATGAAAAGGTGAAAAACGTACCTGCGATGTTCGGTAGCAATGTTCAATGTGAAAACTTCATCATTGGCCTGAATGTAAAAAATGTTGAAAAAAAAAAAAAACTAAACAAAATTACGATTTAAGTGACTTGTCCAAAGTAGTTACAGAGCAGTGTTGATCAAAAGGAATAGAAACAGACGTAGTTTACTCGTTCTTTCTTTCCGGAAATGCTCCGCTTTTGTTTATCAAATCCTTTTTTCATTTCAACTCTTTACTTCCGTTCACTTTTCTTACAATGGTCATTCCATTTTACCTTTTTCTGTCGGAGTTCAGCGTATCAAATGTCACAATTCTGTGACAGAGTTGTCACGTTGGTTTATGTGTGTACTTTGTGTGGAAAAGAAAGAATAAAAATTATGTTCTCGGCTTTTAAACTTTTCAAAAATTTTTTTTCCTTTTTTTTTTAATTTCTGGGCTGCGCGGTTAAGTACTGCCCCCATTTGCAACAAACACATTACGAAAAGCTGCGATTAAGCTGATAAATGTGGCATTTAATCACTGCGTTTACGTGATGATCGCGACGTTCGTAAACAAACAAACGAATTGTCGTAAGATGCTTTTAATAGCTGATCATTTAAAATTTTTCAGAATTTGACAGATTTGAATAATTGGTCGACGTGGCGAGTTCGGTATGTTATTTTCAGTTTAACTTGTTATGAGAAATTAAAGAGCCATACCGGCCACCAAAATTTGTAGTAAGTATAAATTATGAGCGACTGAGGAGAGAGAAGATTAAAATTACCCTTGTATGTACTCATCTGCGAATCCTGGATAAAATGTCTCATTAGAAAAAACTCAAAGTTTTAAATTCCAGACAAGAAATGGGTTCAAAACTAATAACGATTTTTTTGTGCCTTTTATCTTAGTTCTCAAGACACCTTCAAGCACCTTGCGACAAAACGAGATTAGTAAATTAGCGTTTAAATACTTCTAAAAATTAATTATTTAAGATTACCGACAAAAGATGCTAATTTGGAGGGTTTTACAGACATTCTATTTTATATGTCGCATTTATAAAAGGAAAAAAAACGCATATGATATTTTGTTACCAACTGCTGGAAAATGCGGCGGATAAATTCATCAGTAGTGCCGGCCATCCGCTTGAAAAAGACCTCAAAAAAAAACTCATCCATTCAATTTCAAATAAATGAAATTTAGCAGCACTAAATCATCAATATTATGGTTGACTCGTTTGCTACTATTCTAGTTTCGTTTCCAGCGGCAACGACACTGAAAGAAATGTTTCAAATGCATTAAACCTGGCTAAAGGTTTCCAGTTCAAACGTCAATCTGTGAGGTAGCTCCAGCCGACGAGGTTTTGTCAAATTCACTGCTGTAACCCAGTTTTGAGTTTCCTCTCGCTCTATCTTTTTGCAGCTGGCGTCGCCAGTACAGACAGCAGAGTATTAAAGTAAGAACACACAAAGCCAACACACCGAAAACAACTCCAACAATGAGAATGGTCTTTTCGGACCTCTCTTGACTCGCCATTTATCCAGCACAATTGATCAGTAAACTGCTGCTGGTGAAGTGTAAGTTTTCACGCTGTCTCCGTGCTCTTGCACTCCTGAAGCGATGATTTAGCTTTGAAGAAGCATATGTTTGTTGTTTTATCAAGTGTTAATTTATATTAGTGTTGGTTCGCGTGAATTGAGAGACTCTGCGCGATGAAGTCCACTTTCCCCAATTGGATACCTGAGGGTTTGTAGTTTTGAATTCAAAGCAGCGTTTCAAACTAGTGATTGAAAAACCTTGCTCAATTTCCTGGCAGTGGGATTCAGAAGAATAGCTCGCAGTAGTTTTTGTTGTGGAGTTCCGTTCTTACAATAGCTAGAGAATTGATTGAAGCAGGTGGGCCAAGCCATTGCACGTGACAGTTATTTAATGACGTGAAACGTTTCCTGCTCGTTATCAAAACCTGTCGAAGAACTTAGCGTTGGATTCATTTTTCGATTGTTCCCTTATCAAATGCACCAACGTTAAGGTAGAAAGATTGACTCAATTGATCACTTTGCTCTCAGCGCTGGTCAAACGAATTTCGTACAAATTCAGTAAGCACGAGCTGATTAAAAATGCCACCATCTTACGATATAGGCCCAAGTCCCCGCGCGAGTGTGTTTTTTTTATAGGAGCTTATTTCCCCAACCGAAGGCTCAATAACAGGATCTGTGTCTCAGTTTTGACGATAAACATTGCAGGAAATTTTAATTTTTTTCGATATTCAAGATCGGGCAATATTTAACCTAAAGCGACAGATGAAAAGTTTTGCATGTCTTAGATGACTGTCAATATCTTGCATGTCTCAGATGACTGTCAATATCGACTAAAGTGTAGTGAAGGGAATAAAAAAATCAGAAGAAGTTTATCTAATCTCAATTTAGCGATCTTTCTCTGAAATCTACAATTTAGTTTGAGTAAATAGTCGTTAGGGTCAACGCTTTTTAGAAACGGCTTTAAGCGCTCATACCGCGATCAGATTGTTTCTTAAAACTTGCCATATTTTTTCTCCCTGAAACATTTAATTTTGCGACGGAAACTTAATTTTTGATATGAAGACACCATGTAATTGAAATTTTTATCGTGGTTCTTTATCATTTACTTTTATATAGGATACGTATTACGGCCGGAAAAAAACTGGCAAGTCTTTGAGAACTTTTCATTAAAATACCGAATACCTCCGGTAAGGTGACATCAACGAAATCTTATCAATCATTCTCCAAATTGGGTTGTCACTACGGTCGTGAATGAGAAAACAAAAGCGTTTGCGCGAATGGCAAACGGCAAGATCTGAACTTTCACTGTTCCCCTTTGTTTGAGAGCCGTTTGGGCAATGATTTGAAAAATGAGTTGCGCTTTTAACGGTCTTTATTATTTTCTAAACTATTTTCGTGATGATAAATCTATTGAAATCATAATTCAAAAAGAGCTTGTGAGGGCTTGAAACTTTTTGTAAGTTCAGTTCCGTAGTCGCCCGCGATGGATAATGACAGCTGCTGCTTTACAAGTGCACGCGCAAACACATACGGTTTTAAATCACGAGTAAAATTTCAATTAACTTTAACGGATTACTTTATTTTATTTATTTATCGATCGTTAGTACTTAGGGAATCAAGTAGGCACAAACATGAACTTAATTACGTAGAAGAATGAGAATATTTACAGTTTTGTTGCTTTTATCAAGTTCACTGCCCTCCCGAAGCGATTTGATCGCAAAAAGTAGCATAACTATTTGTGAAAATACTGGCGGCGGAGATGACCCGATGAGTGTTGTATACGAAAAGGCATGCGAGAAAAAGCTAATTGTTACCATGTCAGTTCGAAGCGGACAGGTAAGAACTCTTTGGATTACCTGTAAGTACTCCAAGTAGTACGAGACGTTACAAGTTGTTAGCTCAATACGATTAGAATCAGAATGTTATGATTACGCTTTGAAATAAATTTATCGTAGAAAAAAGGAGATTGTAGTTTTTAGTAAAGACGATTTTTTTGGTGGAACTTTAAAATATAGCTTTCCTTTCGCAAGTATAAAAAACGCATTATTTCTTGTCAGTGTTGTGAACTTTTCACTCTTGTTTGACGATCGAAAGAGATTTTAACATGTTTTCATGATCGAGTTTTGATGCTTTTAAGTATGGCTTTTTAAGTTCATAAAATGGAATAATTGTTCATCTATGGGATTGAAGACGAAGGGTACCGGGCTAATGTTTATAATATAATAGCCTGAAATTGTAACTATTTACTGAGATCAATCCATTTTTAGCACATTGTATTCCAGGAAAAATAAATTATCTATCTCGATCTCCAAAATCAAAATTTATTTGTAACTGATTTTTCCCAGATCGCCTCGTTATTAATATCTCTGAGGTAGAAACTACAAACAAAACCATAGCTATGTGAGAAATGCGTTGTTGGTAGAGGCTTGTTTATAAGTGAATTTGGATTAAAAGGTTTCCTCAGTGAAACATGGTAGAATTTTCTTCTTTTTCCTCAGAATGGCACTGAGATGCTTAAGACTGTATCAAACGTAAGCAAAGTTTATGATGAGGTTGAAAGAGAGCAGGCTCGTCTGTACAACCCATTTATTATAACCCTGGCTAAGACACCGGTACATCTAACATATCCTTATTACTACAGAGGGGTAAGTAGTAGATAAGTGTCTAAACTGAGGAGATGCATTAGCTTTTGTTTGGGCTTGAATTGTTTATGTGAGGGAATAAGGAGGAAGGGGGGGGGGGGGGGGGGAGGGGGAAGCTTTTACACAAAACCAAAGGATTCAAAGTTCAGTGCACCGTTAGTACAAGTCATTTTCTAATTATTTAATCAATTTTACTGTTCCATGGTAGATGGTGAATAATAAGCCTGAGGAAAAGGTCAAAGTGAGTGATAATGGTGGTTGGGTGTCTGGGTCACGCAATCTTTGTGATGACATGTGGGAATCAGAGAGTGATGAATCAACATGTGGCTTTGACAGAGATGCCAATGGAAACAAGATCTGGGATAGTCAGGTCTGTATACATATTACCAACAACAATAACAAAATATGCATATGACCAGTGTTCTTTGCTTTGGTTACTTAAGAGAAAATCATCAAAATTATCTATACTCTCTCTCTTTTTTTAATAAAGGGATTTTGCTGTTGGTGTAAGGAACAAGACAAGTGGCGTGGCTCTTTTTCAGACACAACACCATTCAGTCGAGCGGGTCTGACCTGTAAACTTTTTGCTAAGGCTCAAGCCGCAGCTCATTGTATGAAATATGACGACCTGTGGTACGTTCAGCATCAATCATTGTCAACATGCATGCATAATGAACTAAATGTAACTAAAAACAAACAACAGGAAATGCATCCAGAATTTCACATGGGAAAACTGAAACATCTCTGTTCTGATTGGTTAGAACAAGGGCTGCATGGACTAATAGCAAATTCTAAACAACTGTCTTGGCCTTTATGAAAACATTTTAAATAGTTAAGTAAAATCAAAATTAATTTTTCTCTGGAGAAATATTGAAATGTTTTATGTTTGAAGTTTGTAAATTTATCACTGCCTATCTTGTCAATCACTTTCAACCCTTTCACCATGTTTACTCCAAGATCTCATTAGTAATTCTCCTTACTGTCTGCCTTACAATTCTTATGGTGTTAGTACAGAAAATTTGGTATTGGATCAACCAATAATCCCTTAATCTATATTTTTCTTCACTGTCATTATTTGTCTGCTTGATATTGTAATGATACTGTAAGAAGAAATTCTGTCTTGTTACTTAAAGGATTAAGGCAGGAAATCACAGCAATACATAGAGTTCATTAGGTTTGAAAGCTTCAAATATTTAAATTAAAAGAAATTTTAATTTTAGATCTAATTGGTAGGGATTCAGGTGGGAATGATGCAAAGGTGCAGGGGAATTTGTTACTGTTACCTCCCTCCCTCCTCCTCCCAAATGTAAGAAATCTTAGCCACGGTCTGGCAGTAATCGTAAACGTTACAGTGGCTGTAAAATGTAACGTGCCTTTTCTGTTGCAGGTACACAGTGAACGAGTTAGGACGATGGGAAATGGAATTCGGTATTCACGTGAAAACTTTTGATCAAGTAACCACAAAGGAAGGGAATGTGACAAAACCTAAGTGGGTCCCTGGTGGGGAGATTGTCATAGGGCCACATGTACGGAGGGGAAGGGGAAAATATGGCAGGGTAAGTATATTGCGTGACATTAAAACTGTCACGTCAGGTTAAGACATTTTGATTATGTGAGTCTTTTTAGTCAGCTGAAATGCAGTTTTCAGCTTGGTCATTTACATGGCAGGCTCGCATGAAATAGAATTTAAAGTTCCTTCTTTTATAACTAAGAAAACAAGTTGATTGACCTTTGAAATATCGAATAATAATACCTCATCTGGTATTCCTTACAGCTTCTTGCAAGTTATATTGGCGAGTTCCAGTCCCACAGACAGTTTCCAACCTTGACAGAGAAGTTCCTCCTAATTCCGTTTGTCACTGCTAAGATAGACCCTAAGATGCATCCACAGTTAAGGGTAGGGAATTACGGACCTGTTTTTCTCCAAATTGCTTTGTATTTACCAATAAATTTACTTTATGACAATGCAGCCTCGAACTATACAAGATTATCAGCGGTCACGAGTTGTGCATGCGCAGCTGATCAGTCTGGTAGTGCCACGCACGCGCAGCACGCGTCCCTTGGTGTGCTTCGGTTTTTAAACCAGACTGGTGACAGTGCTCCACCTTTTAAACCAGACTGGTGACAGTGCTCCACCTTTTAAACCAGACTGGTGACAGTGCTCCACCTTTTAAACCAGACTGGTGACAGTGCTCCACCTTACCGATGGTTTATAGGGATCTACGTCACCGACATTCGAGTCAGAAGGACAGAAAGAATCTACATGAGAACCTCCTTTTAAAGCAGCATGGAAAACACTCACGCAAAAATGAACGCTAATCCTACGCTCAGCTGTGTTTGATCGTTGAGTTGTGATCGCGATTAGTCTTACTCAGCCAATCAGCCAGTTTGCGCTCAGTCGTAAATCCAATTTTCTCGTGCACTTCGATTAAAAGTCTTAGCAGGACTGAAATGAGAACACTGCCATCTTTCTTTTGCAGGTTTCATGGCGTTTTCAGCTTATGTCTTTTCGCATGTGTTGATGCTGTAATGAAGCTGTGCTGATAAGTCATAAGGGACGTTTTATAAGTCTCATACAGACGAAATTATGTCACTAATCAATACTTATTTCTTTATGCAGGACGGACCTACGGATTACATGATAATAGACAAACATGAAGTGAACTACAAACCGAGCGGACCTCATGAATGTGATAAAATTGGTGTCACTTACACAGCATTTAGAAATCAACGACCTGCTGGCTGCCAACAGAAAAAGGGCGCGTAAGTGCGGTACTAACGGGTTATTAACATGTTTACTGTCGATTAAAAAAATGAGGTGTTTATTGACGTTCTTCAACCATCTGACCCCTACAAGTGACTCGCATACTAGCATCTAACTTCCCCCTTACAATATCACCCTTGAACCATGCACGCATTAGCGGAGGTCGCGGGAATAAAGGAAACGATCACCAGCTAAAGAAGCCCTCGATTGCTAAACAAAGTCTCCTTGCCAGAAACTTAGGAAATGTATAGTGAACAGGATGAAGAATATGCTTACTGATGTTTGAGTGTAAAGGTTAAAGGAGGGTACTGGGGTAGAGCAACGATTAGAGAGAATTATCGGAAGGAGTAGAGGTTGGACTGGCAATTTCTGGCTGATCAGGGATGGTTAGCTCCTTACGTTATTGTTGAAAAACAGCTTATCCATCGACTGGATAATGCTGTGCAGAACAAATAAAAAGGTGCATAAGTTACCCAGATTTCCCATCTTCGAAATTATTTGGGACAATGACGGTAATGTCCACGAGAGTCTCAGATAAAGACTTTAATTGACGCTAACATCACTGTTTTACAATTTGCATCTTAGATGTCTCAACAATCAGCCAAAAGATTATTTTGAACAAGACCAGGTAAGTGGCGACGTGCGTAATAATGTTTTGCGACGCTTAACAAAACATCAATTTAGGCTAATAAGGGCTGTGCACATGAGATCTTGGTGTACTAGTGGTATATTTTGTGAATTTTTTGTTCTTGTTATTGTTAGCGTCGTCGAGCCTCAGGCAAGACACCATATTATTTTCCCGAGAAGTTTGGTAAGTTGGTTGGCGTCAAGAAGCGTCCAATAAAGGACGAAGAACAGCAGTTCATGCTGACGTATGAGATTGACGAAGGTATGACGAGTATGGTGACGCTTCAAATCAGTGCAGATGACATCCTTCTCATATACAACAGGTTCGTACAATCAATCGCAGAATCAGTTCATGTCGCAAAAGTTCGTGAAAACTACAGGAAATTTTTCAAAGCAGATGGACGCATCAGAGAAATGCGCTCGAAGTTACGTCATGGTGCTAAGCAACTGAGACTGAGAAACCCGATGCCAAGTTTTCCTCTTCTCGCCGAGCCATAGGAACGACATGGGAAATTTTCTCGGAGACCCTGGCACTCGAAAAACAATTTTCATGATCCGTAGACCAGGGCGAAGCCAGAATTTCACACTGTACCAAACAGGGAATACTCACCAGATTTTCATGTCCATCTCTATGCTGTGTTTTACGTAATGTGACAGAAAAAAAAAGGCTTACCATAGGGTCATCATTGGCGGCCCAGGACCCCCCTCCCCCCTCCCTCTAGCTACGCCTTTGTAGACTAGGCCTTTTCAATTCATAGTTTTCTTTTGCTGCACTCATTCAATAAGGGGTCTTGGAAAGTGAAATTTAATACACGTAAAACAACTGATTCCACTTTTTCAGGGCCTCTGGTAAGATACTGAAGGCGTACGCTCAGGACTTTGAAGCGGTGTCAAAAGATGGTCGTTTGTTTGTTGTGGTTCAAAACACTGGTTATGTTACGGCTGATTTCGCTGTTAGTAAGATCAATACTGTTTGCTATTGTGATCAACACTCCTTTCGAACTGTTTAAATCAGCTCAGTAGATTTTTAATGCGCCTGGCTGGTAGTTTTCTCAGTTATGAGAGCTCGATAATGTAAATTGAAATGTTCATAAACTGAATCACAAAGGAAAATTTTTTTCTGTTTTTTTTTTTATACACTATTTCTCTGCAAGAATTATGAAGATTTTAAATTAATTTGTAAATGTTCATGCTCTATTTAATTTTTCAGCTTCGTTGGTTGTTATATACAAGTGAAAAGATTCGCTTTTTCATTCTATACACTTCATACTAAAATTTAGAAATAACTCGTACGTACCTATCATTGTTATAATATCGAAGAATTTTGTAAGTCGGGAAACAAAATACTTTTGAATGTCTAATTTAAAACTCTAATTGCTTTCTAGCTTCGATTTATGTCTATTTTAAAGTCTGGACCATCGACTTGATAACTATATTCTCCTTTATGTAGGTCGTGATATCAGAATGCTCTGGCGCAGTAGGAAAGTTCAGGGAGAAATCTTTATCTATAAACCCTCAGAAAACACACTTGTTCTCCTTTGATGTCCACGCTTATAACATGAAAGGGGGAAATAACTACTGTGTCGGTAAGAAGGAGCAGTGACTCTGAATAATGGGTTACCTGTGTAATAATATACATGAAAAAATTACGCACTTCTAATGGGCTGAAATTGATTGCATTTTTCATTTAACTCGAGCGCAAAGTTGTAACACGAGCGCAAAATACAAATAGCGCGCGCTGTCAAAACTTCGTCTGTCTTGACTATCTGTGATGCTCTTTTCATGTAAATTTTTAGAAAAAAATTACATGATTTCTCGCGCAACTGGTGTAAATACGCATTAGTCAATTTTTTAAAGACTACACAATTGCATGTGCCCATGCACTCGTGCTTATTAACACCAAATTGCGCTCGAAATCATGTTGGTACCTTAACTCATCAGCGCGGAAAGAAAGGAAACACGACGGATTAAATGTGAATTATTGATTCGCGTGGGATGATTGCTTTCATTGAAGCCTGGCTAGAGTAAAGACATCACATAAAGCGCTCAACGTAGTAAACGTTTTACCAACGATTGTTGCTATTTCTTTATAGCATGAAATTATCTTTCTTGAGTTGCAGAGCAGCTTTTATATATACTGAATGATACATGTTAAATTTACGGTTTGATTTACAGTAAAGCTGTTTGATTCCCGACAAAAAATGGTCGACAGCGCCAATGTCACCTTCACTACCACAGCACCGTGCGTTTGCGCGACTGGATGTGGCTGTAGTGTATGTATTGTTTTGTTAACATGTATGAATGATATATCTAAGTAGAGCATCATCGTGGGAGTTAAAGATGGCATTTCCTTTAAAGCCACGTAGGTTTTGGGAAGTCTCATTTCATCATTTAACGCTACATAAATCAGATTCTGTCGTCTTTCTTCCACCCTGATAAACGTGGTGGAACTATTTGCCGTTTCATAGCAGCTATGAAAAGAAAGGTGTCAATAAATTTTGATTAATGCCGAAAAATCTTTAATTATTCCCTCCTAGTGTTATGACACTGGTTTCAAATGCGTGGAAAGAGATGAGAAAGACTGGAACGAGGAAAAACCGACCGAAAGTGGCTTGGACTTTGGTGGCGCAGTTAACATATGGACTAAAGTCAAAAACTTCTTCAAGAAACTGGGCAAGATTTTTAAATTCCTAACATCACCAGGTGGCATTGCCAGCATTTTGGGGATACTTGTGGGTCTTGGTGCTTTGAAGGCCTTCATGGGTCTCAGAAGAAAGGGGGCTGCCGTGGCACGCTTCGGAATGGGCGGCGTGAAAAAGGGCCGACAAGAAAAGGCAAACAATATGGGCCAGATTGTGGTAGTCGAGTACAATGAAGAAGGAGAGGAAGTCGACCCAGTCACGTTAGTATAACGATCCATTGTTATTTAAGAGGGAAGGATGCATGCTGCTTCCACCCTAATGAAAACAAGACGCATACTTGCGTGAACTCAGGCGCTCTTAATGGCAAAATCTACGCACAGCCTTCATACGGGTTATACACTTAATTCGCTTGACAATTTTATACGCAAGTGAAATTTAACATGTGAGATGCTTGCGAAAAACTTGCGCAAATGTTATGAAAATTGTTATCTCTTCCATATTGTGCTTTCACATGCTTTTCAACTAGTTCTTAAAGCCTGTGCCTTGTTATGTTAAGTCGAACTAATACGAACTTATGAATAGAATATGATGTAATCATATACAGTGTCTTATACTGTTAAGCTTATCTTTGTAAGTGAAGCTCAAATCAAGCTGTTGTCACTCGATAAGTTGTCAAAAAAGCCTTGTTGCAGACTACAAGTGACTTCTACATCACCTCCTTCCAAAAGGATAACCACACTAGTATGGAAAGAAGTGTTGTTTAAAAAGGAAAGCTATTTTCTAAAGTTAGTAACTTTTATATTTTGCAGAAAAGAGGTCACCAAGCCGCGAAACAAAACCAAAGAATTTCTGTTCAACCTCATTTTCTTCCTCATCCTTCCGTTCCTACTGCTTTTTAAACTCGGTAGAAAGATCATAAAATGTTGTAAAAAGGATTCTAATACAAAGCAAGAAAAAGAAAAACAAGACGAGAATGAGGGAGATGGAAAAGCGAAAGGATCAGCTGTGGACATCTTTAAAGAAGGAGACATAATGAAAAATGGAAGTCCGCGCGCAGAGAGTGATCAAAGCGTGAAACTTTTCACTGAAAAAGCGGAGGTTTCGGGAGGAAGCAAAGAAAACGTAACTACTGAGCGAAGCCGTATAAATAGTTTGGTGATCAAAAAGAGTGAGCAAGACAGAGGAAATGACATTGCAACTGGCGGAGGTTCCCAAGGAATTAAGCGCAAGATTAGCGCCCAAGGGAGTAGGAGAGGGGTTAAGGAGCACGTGACTGAACTATCAAAAGACAAACCAACCAGCAAAGGAGAGGAGCAACAAAAGGGAACTTCACAAACCTCCGATGAAGTGACTGTGAAGAAAACTGAACCCTCAGAGCCACAGGTAAGGGATTTGTATGTTTGTGTGTTTGAAACTGAACCTTAAAATTTGTTAAGATTAATTAGTTGAAATAAAACCTTATTCTCCATTCTTCGGTCGTTAGAAATGTCTTGAATACAAATTGGAATATATAGACAATCTCGAAATTCTCTTCACTAAATTGAATGTCGTTACTTCGTGTTGCTATTACAAAGAGAATTTATGCATTTTTCTTTAGTTTCGCGAAAATATTTGTTTTCTAATTCCCAACAGTGATCGTTAGAGACTGGTGTCAAGGAAATTATCATACAGTTAATTTAAATTCACGCCCCCTTGCTTCATTCAGGTTCCAGAAGATATCAGACAGTTTACAGAGGCCAATCCGTTAATTTATCACAATTACCTTGATACAGACGCTGTTGCTGATGAACTTGAGGTAAGACTTGTCTCATTCACCACTGACTCTTCGACAAGACCATAGAGACGTACCTCCTGTTTTACAGATAAATGTATTTCCTTTTTTTGTTTGTTTGAGCTTGTTCTTATTTCTGGTTTTTCAATTAGCCTGTAAGCGTTTTTATTCTTTTATTCTTGCCGGTTTACCCTCTCTACGACGAATGCCTCAAACATTGCTGGTCTAAACAATTTCTAAAACTTCTGCCAGATATTAATATGGTCTAGCTCACCGATTACCTCCCTGTCGCTCAGTTAGTAGAGCAATTACGACCTCGGAACTTGTTATGGTTCGAATATCTAAGGGGACTCGGATTTCTCCCTTCAATTTTTCTTGTCTCTGTTTTAGAATTATGGAATTAATCTCCACACTCAGCAGGTTCTTCTTTTCCAGTTACTCACAATCATTACCGTCACTGATCAGAGTTACATGAACGATTGACCTTCGTCATCTCAAACCGGTAGGGTGGTCGGGAAAATTAAATGAGCATTAAGCGTTTCAGGTCAAAAGAATTTTCCGAACCAGCCGCCCATGGCCAGCTCCTATTTAATGTTTGATTTTAATGTGTCTTCAGGATTACGGTGAGCAGTTTTGCCTAGCTGGTAAAATAACCTGCATACCTCGTCCCACAAGCATCAAGTACAGATTTGATTTATTGATGGCATTGCAGGTGAGAAAATACGGATTCACACCATTACTTGATTGGCTAAAAAAAAAATTGGCAAAATTCGAAACACTGTTGCGCTGGTTGTCCAGCATTCTATTATCTTTGTGCACAACAGGAGAGATTTTTGCTTGCTATTGCATACAGAAAGAGAAATTCCCAATTGAGACTCGAAAGTAATTCAGGACGCAATTGATTTCACCTCATTAAATTCTGAAACTTGTCAAGAAAACACGGACCTCCTGGGCTCACGCGCGTTTGCTCCTGTTTGAGGCAACTTTGTGTCTGGGCTCTCTCTTTTACGAGAGACCCTGGAAACGAAGTTGAATCTGAGGCCATTAACATCAAATTACCGTCGCTGTCATTGACTCCTTGAGATGTTATTGGTCGTTACTTCACGTTGAAACCCAATCAATACGCCCTATTACGTCGCGTTGCCTCCTCACAATCCTAATATTGAATATTATAAACTGATTGTGGTCGGGTATAAATGTGTAAACGACTTTTGTTATCGATTGTAGTTTACTAAAAACCCTAGGTTTCAATTAAGTCACAAGCTGATAATTGTTCCTTTGATTTTGTCATTTCAGATTTGCGGTAACCAGGATGGAGAGCAAGTCTTGTTGCGCACACCCAAAACCCTCGATCCACATCTCTTTTCAAAGTTAATGACAGCTCAAGAAGTACGAGAACGGATTTCTTTACAACCTCAAGCTCCCTGCCTTAATCTCAAATAATCCTCCAACTACTTTGCCTTTACTTCTTCACCGTGAAGTTTTTAAGTCACTTGGTTTAAGATGACACGCCTCATAAACATCATTCGTGATTGTCTCATCCACTATTTCACTCAAAACTCTGATTATCTTTCCTACCGGAAGTCGATAACAGCCTGAATTAAATGTCTGATTGGTCAAAATAAATAAAAGTATCCTCCTTTAATGTGCAGCTTCAAAGAGTCTTAATAAGACAACATTTGTTTCAACAACACAAAACAAAAACACGGTAAATGGCTTAAACTCGAGTTTAAGACGATCGAGGGATGTGATAAATGAAGGGAGAAAGGACAGCTCGGAACACGTCACACAGTTGAAGGGAGAGAGGGCAGCTCGGAACGCGTCATAGGGATTATTTAAAATCAGTCTCTGAGGGGCGCGCGCACAAAAACACGCACATACAATCACAAAATTCACTTCAACTATCTCTCTACCATCTGTTAGTGTCGTAATTCACTTTAATTTTTGATATTGACATTTTGTAAAACACCCTCCACTCGTCTTCATTTTTATGGCTGAACTCGCCGCTTACATATGGACTAAAACTGTACACCTCAATCTTTCTTAAATATTACTTATCATTCAGTGGACTATAGGCCTAAATATTTACATTTCCTTTGTACATTCTGTCATCGTACAGTACATTAGAAGTCACTTTATATTGTATTATGTATTCACATCGAATGACTCTGTTGTGTCAGCATCACGAAGTGGCGACCCAGCCGCTCTCTTTGAGGAAATTCATGATGTGTTTTCTATGTGTTTTGTCGAGATTCGGTGGATATCGAGTTTTAACCTGAACACCTTGCCTTCTCAGTAGATTGTCCTGTAGAAGGAAAGCAACTTATCAGCCCTCTTAGATGGTAAAAACGCAAGATTATGTACAGTACATCCTACACCTTTCCCCTTGGCGTTAAGGTATTTTGTAATAAGGTGTAAATCAAAGCGGAGGTGTATATAAACCTCCCTATCAGCTGTCTGCTCCCAGGTCGGCTCGGTTTAAAGCTAGATATCCGCTGTTATCTGGGAAGGAGCGCAGGCTCATTTAGCGACCAGCGGCTGGTAACCTAACCTGATTTGGTTTAAGAGGTTAAAGACCTGAAGAAACTGTGGTCCTACGTCGGTAAGGGGCGGGGGAGGGGTGGGGGATATTAAAAAATAAGTGGCCTCTGTAAAGAGTTTCTAAAGCTGATGTCCTAGCGCTAGCCCTTCGTCAGAGCGAATCAGAGGAACTAGGAGTTCTGTGTGATTTATAAACAGAAAGATGGAGCTACGCTGTTGGCGGGAACATGTTGACGCGAAAAACACAAGAATAGACTAGTTGTATGTTAGCTTTTCTTGAAGAAAGACTAACAAGAAACCCGGGGTGTACTCAGTGAACGAACGATAACCAACAACAAATTCAACCCACACATGACTACACCGTCCTCGTTCATTAAACAGTGTACCTTGACTGTGCCAGGATATTGAACAAATACACAGAGTTAACATTCTCCAATGAGTTACGGCTGAGTTGCGTCGAACAAAGACCACGAGCAATCTCTCCTTTTAGCGAAGTCCGTCGCACGAGTAAAAAATCAGCGAAACGAAAAAAACCTAATATCAAACTAACTCACCTTTAAAACAATTGTTTTGATTGTAAGATAAAATCCAGGTTTCATGTGCATAGAAGCGCAGAGCTGTCGTGGAAGAGAAAAACAAATTTTCAGAGGGCTACTAAAGATAAGGTTCGTACAAATACTTTCCTCCTATAGAACACTTTTCAAATGGGCGTTTAATGAAATCCGGGATTGTGATGGCTTTGCTTCATTTTGCTCAGTGATTGGTCTAAAGAGCTAGTGCCATCTTCTCGACCAATCAGATCATAGTTAGTAGAGGAGTCTCCTCTACTAACTATGATCAGATACAAAACTTAAGCTAATCGCGTCTTGTTCACTGGTGTTTTTCGGCGCTTGAAGCAATTTGCTTGTTTTATTTTCAGTTCTCATTGGCTCCTTACAATATTTTCCAACATCTGATTGGCTGCTGTGATAACTTCAGATTTGGATTTACGACAGTCGCTCGAAAAGCGCTCTCATATGGACTCTAACTTGTCCAACGTGGGAGGTGCGTCAAAACTCCATGGAGAATCATCAATGCTTACATTTCGACATGTTCGCTTACAGGTACATCACAGCACATTGTTTTACGTCCTAAAATTTTTTTAAAGAAACGTTTAGATAAACCACAGCCATCTTTCCCACCTGTCTCTCCATTAATGACAGTAAATTGTAGGTCGGACAGTTTTTCATCTGATCTTCAAAACTTGGTGACGATAGCGATCGATCTGCAAAGGAAGAACAAACAGTTGAATTGTGCGCAACTTTGCAATTTTAGTCTGCGGACTCGAGTTATGTCCACACGAGGGTACAACTTTTTGTCTTACTGAAATCGTTTAAGTTTAGTACCTTTTTCATCCTTGTCTTCTGATGAGGCCCTACGGAGGAAAAAATTCACCGAATAAATATGGTGACATATTCTAGAATCTACGAAGAGGTGATATTCAAGAACAATCCACAATATTCAATTCACTTACTCATTCTTTTTTCCCATCGACACGTTCGTTCTTCTCGGTTGGGTTCCACCCTAGGAAGGACCGGAAAATATGATTATGTCAATTGCTTTATTTACTGTGGTTATTGGAGATCTTGCTGTTGATCACAAATAAACCCTTAGACTCCCAAGATCTGATTGTTAATTCTCCCCTCTTGCCGCTACACATTTCCTAATAAATTAGTTACGTGAATTTGGTGTTAGATCAATTGACAACTTCTACCTAATGAGTATTCTGAGATCAAGATTTGTATATCGTGACAATATAAGTGCTTATCGTTTAAGGAATACGGAAAACAAATTAGTTCTTCCACAACCTCGAACTGATTATCTTAAGAGAAGTTTTTTGTACAGCGGAGCTCACTTGTGGAACGACTTACCCTTAGACCTAAGACAAGCGTCTTCACTGACCGATTTCAAATCTAAATTAAGTCGCCACAGTTTAAAGTAATATCTTAATTTTAAGTAAATTTTAGACACGGCCTCCATGAAAAGCAGATTTTTATTTGTTTCTTTTATTTGAATTGTTATTATTAGATTTTATTATAGTTAGGAAGATAGATATACCTTTATAGATAATTAACAACTGATGGAAATACCGTGTATAAATAAAGTTATTTTATCTTATCTTATCTTATTCTCATTGCCTGTTTGCTAAGGAATGTATGGATATTATAACGAAAAGTTACATGTTAATCACTTCTGAGGGTTTAACTTGCTCCACCATGTTGAAATTGGAAGCTAAAATCCAAAAAGCTCCATCACAACCATGTCGTGACAATTCTAACTTCGGCCAGAAAGCGTCCAAAGACTTACCACCATTTTCCTTTTGTTTTCCTTTCTTCTCTCTCGTCGCAACCTTTGTTCATCATATTCTTGACACTCTAAAAACGCGTCAAACAGGTTTACCCAGTTTAGCTTTAACGGAAAGCGCCTTAAAATTCTAAATGTAAGATTCACTGAGATAACACTTTTTTTTAAGAATCAATTCGCTTTCCTAGACAAACTCGTGTTTGATAAGGCTTCCTGTAAAATTAACGTTTTCAGCTAAAAACAAAGTTACATTGTACCGATTTCATTATACTAATCCTCTGTCTTGCAATAAAAAAGAAATTTAAAATCTCCTTTGAGCGCCGTATTGCCGTTACTACATATAAAGTCCCGCTCGTTTTAGGTCTTACTTTAGCAAAAGATTACCTGCTAGTTTTGTGATTCCATTCTTTCTGTATCTCGTGAGATCTTTGATTCTTGCTCTCAATTCTCTTTCGCCTGAAAGTGCATCAAAAAAAATTTGACAATTTCAAAACACACGGACAAAATGGTAAACTTTCACACCCATAAAAAATTGTTCAAAACTTAATAATTCTCGTTGTTTCAGTTTCTGACTTAATGTCTATTGTCATTGATTGAGTACAGACAGTGAAAACTTGAGATCCATTTGTTACAAAGATTTAAGTTACAAGTTTTATAACTTTTGGCACTGTTTCTTCTTACGTAAATGACCATTTAGAAACTCCTCCCATTCCCTGTGGCTTTTAAATCTCGCAAAAACTCTGGTGGCATCCCTGAACTCCCTACAAATAAAAGATGAAGGTGATTTTAAAACATCATCATGTACAATGCTGGAAGTAACAACTCGCACTAAGAAATCAGTATAATAAAACTGTCAAGCCCTGTTTAAAGGTCATAGGAACAATTAACTAATGTCTGGGAAAGAAAAATCATAATCTCATCATCTTTTTGTTCTCTGTTGATGTACACAGATCACTAACCTGTCCTCTTTGCTGTACTTTCTTCGAAGAGCTGGAACAAAAACAAATTCTCTACATGAAATATGTTCTTAGACTTCTGTGAGGACATGACTTAAAATTGACAACCTCTGAAAAGAACCCTCCCCTTCCTAAAAATCTGCTTAAAAATAACTGATGCTAGAAGGAAAATAGTAAAATAAACTAAAAGTTTCATCAAATGTCATAAAAGTGATAAGTTGGTACAGCTTTTAATAACTGAAACTGGTTACGCACAAGGGTGCACAGACAAAATCTTTTTTATTTTTAATTATGATTGGCAAAGTGGCTGTAAAGGCCACTGCGAGTTGAGTTGTGAAGATACATGTAAGGGCAACAGCTATAACATGCTGTGTGATAAATATGAGATAATTAGCTGGATTTTGGTACCTATTATTCTGTGTTTGCTGGCAATAAGTCCATGTTGTCTTGCAATGCTGGAAAGAAATGAAATAAAACATTGTCATCAATGCTACTGTACATGAACTACCTGTAAACCTTCACCTTACTCCGTTACACCCCAACATCAGTATGCATATTCTCCATACTGTTCTCTATACATTTCCTAAGGTGCTGACAAGGAGAATTTGTTTAACAATCAAGAGCTTCTTTAGTTGGTGATCATTTCCTATATTCTTGTCACCCTAATGTGTGATTCAGGGATGATACAGTGAGGAGAAATTAGATGCTTATCACTCTTGGGGTGTAAGGGGTTAAACATTACAAAAGAGAGGAGAACTATGTCAAATTTTTCAACCAACTAGATTACAAGACTTTTTATCTGAGCTTACTCAGGGGGTTGTATCAGAAGAGCTTTCTAGCTTGGTGTTTACCTTAATGTCATACAAGCAATAAGAGGTGAGAGTGTTAAGTCACTTTTTTGTTAAAACTATAAATCAATAACTCCTTTGAAAAAAGGAGGTGGGGTCATTTGAACCCAAACCCCCCAGCCCCACCCCCTTAAAAAAGCAACCTGGCACCTTCTTACCACAGACATCTTGACCAGGATGAAGTGAGAATAAGATTTGAAATGAGATGCTCACAAACAAGAACAAACAAGAACAAACAAATAAACACTAAAACATGCCAAAAAATAATGGAACTGCATAACAGAGGCTTTTACTGGCTTTGAAATTACAATCTTTCAATATGAACCCTACTTGGTAAACAGCTTGCAAAGCTGTAAGGGATACATCCATCAGTCAGTTGAAAATGTTTCTTACAAAAAGTTATTTGTACTTACTTCTTTCTGTGTTGTCTTTCCTTGAGTCTTCTTAAATACATATCTATTATTCCTAGCTTTAAATCTACAAAACAAAACAGAAACTAGATTACTGGAGCTAACTGTATACATTGTGCTGTAAGCAAATAATTACATGATTCCAATTCGCTAAATTGAGCAGATATGTATGTGAAACCCTTTAGGATGTCTTGAAAACACTTCACCAAGTTTGAATTTTTTCATCCTTACCTACTTCCACATCCTCGTCATCATAATTGAACTGTAAACCACTGACAAGAGTTTCAGCCTCATTATCATATTCCTACAGAAAAAAAAAATTCTGATTTACTTCCCAATTTCTCACCTATCAAGTCTAGATGGATGGTGTTACACAATAGTGATACACAAGCCACATCCTTTGAGCAGTATTGGGCAGTATTGACTAAATTTTTAAGTGCTCAGGAGACTTCAAAAGTCAGAGATTTCTCTACCAACAAGGATGCAGAATTCTCTCTCTAAATGCAAATGGCCTAAGCTATGTTTCATATAATTGGGGGTAATATCTACCAGTTACTTAATGGCTCTATCCTCTTGCTACTACATTTTTCACAAAAAATGAGTACTTTTGATGCCCTGTGTAAGGCAAGATGAGTTCCTTTGACTAGTTTTGGTCTGTTCATCGTAGTTCTTAACTGTGGATTACTATTAAAATACAGTTTTGCTATAACCAAAACAAGGTTATGGCAACATAGTGCTGACTTTTACAACTTCCTTTACAATGGCCAGGAAGCTATCACTAAATCACATCTGAGGCTGCTGTGAAAAAGGTTATCTCAGGTGGCTGAGCATTTTGAATGATCTGATAAAATGGCACTGTAAATTCTGTTATAATTACCTTTTCAAAGTCATCTCTGAGTGGCATATATCCTAGCTCCTGCTGTTCAGTATTATTCATCTCCACAGGTTCAGGGGGGTGTAAGAGAGTTGGCGACAGTACTTCTGTAAGTTGGAGAGAAGTAAAGGCCTCTTTGATTAATTACTTAATACTGCACTTCAAGTAACACATTCAAATTCGCTGCTTCAAAAGGACAATCGTCACCGAATGATAAAAAGTTCAGATTCTACACAACTTCTGTCAGTTCAAAGTGTGGCTATTGTATTAAAACAAATCACTTTATTTTCAGCGCATAGAGGTATCATCTTTATTCATCAAACTTTACTTTCATTGATAGTTATTTGCCATACCTTGATCAGCAGATGTATGATCAACTATTTTGTTCTTAAAAGGTTCAACAGTCGCTATAACACAATGAGACAGAAAATTATAAAATTGTCATTGAAAATCAGAGGCACTGGGTTGAAACACATCCTGTCTTCAGAAAAAATACTTCGTGGCTTTGAAATGATACAGTTTTTTTCTGTATCCAGCAGCTATCCTTCATGAGAAGTAAACTGACTTATAGTATCTACTTTTTCAAGGAGAAATAAATTCCAAAAAGAGATACTTAATTCATTTGTCATGGTGTAATAGGACAACAAATAAATAATGAGGTCAGATGATAACTTGAGCATTGAACTTTCTAAGAACTGGTCCAGCTTGCAAAATATTCAGTTGGAGAATACAGAATACAATCTTACAGAACACAAACTTACTGTTTAGCTGAATAAATTGACACAGGAATAAAGTTAATATCATTATCATCATCATCGCCCTGTGTAACAAAGAACTTGTGAAATATTTAACACAAATTATTACCTTGTCCAACAACTCCTGAGATGTAATTGTCTGCATAATGTTCACTGGTCTCTGTTGATAAAATTAAGATAGATTTATAAAAAAAAAAAATTTTTCAACATGTTGTTGAGAAAAACGAGCCAACAAGGAGAGACAGAAGAATTATAAAGATCCTAATTAAACATTTCAATATGATTCCTAACTTTGAACAGCTTTTACTGCCAAATTTTGTCAAAAACTTAATGGATCACACAATTTTGCAAATGTCTTGGATATGTTATTTGCTTCTTATCATTCATCAGAAAATTGTTAACAGGTAGTTACGTATTTGAGAATGTGAGATGAGACTTTACCAATCAGTACTTTGTAAAGGGTTTTATACAAGTCCTTGATGGCAAGAACACGCTTTAATTTGTTATCAGCTATGAACAGATTGTGGTCTAGTGAAAAGTTAGTTAAATAAGTAACCAATTAATCAATCAATGAACACATTGAATGCCTGGCAGACCTTTCCCTGTTTTGGTACCAATGTGATCAGCGACATCATCCCTGAAAAAAAAAAAACATGAATAACAATGGTACAAGGAAAATCTAAAATGTATTGCACTTCCCAATCATCCTGTATATGAGACTGATTTTCATGGGTACTGGATCTTCTCCTAGTTTTTCAGGCATGAATTGAGAAGGAAAATTGCTTCTCCTCTTGAGAAAAAGGGATACACCCTAAACATTTTTTCCAGGTACCCATCCCAGAACCCATTCAATGAAGTGCCTTGCCCCTGACCCAGGGAGGGTTTACACTTACACCTTTCAATCTGCAGGCAGACCAGTTAGCTAACATTAGATCACTCTGTTTCCCTAACCATATCAATCAGACTGCATAGCTTTAGTCTCAAGCCTTTCCACTGGAGCTTGTCAAAAACTGTTGGTGAGCCAAATGTAAGATACACATTGTAAATTGCGATTACCAGTTTCCAAAGCCATGCTGCTCTATAGCATCTAAAAGCAGCACTTCTTCCTCAGATGTCCAGTCCTCAGTAAACAATGGAAATGTCCCTCCATCCTGAACAATACAAGTTTTTGAGATATGTCACCAGGATCTCCTCAGTTATCTTAAGATATTAACTGAATATTGATATACTTGTAAATAAAGATAATGAAAATAATAATGAAGACAATGATAATATTAATGTTAGAGGCGTAATGAAATAAGCTGAAAAAATACCATTTTTTGCAGTAAAGGTAATGATATATTAAAGTATCACAGAGTGTCATGGGGAAACAAACTTTCAAATAAATATGCAATTATAGCATTCAAAGTGGTCATGAGAACAGAGCAAGATAACTTCATTTGTTGGTTCTCAATAACCATGAAGAGACATATCAAGTAATAAGTCTCTTCAAGCAATTAACATCACAGTTCTAGAAAACTCAGTTTAAGGGAGAGGAAGGAAAGTTTGACAAAAATCAGAACCTTGGAAGAGAGACTGGGAAAGTGGGTGTAATGATCATTGCACATACTTGCAGGCTGACCTCAGACCAATATTGTGGACTCTTCCCACGCACACTCAGAATGAGGAATAAACAGGTGAGGGGAGGGTGGAGTTGGGCTTATGAACAGAATAATAAGATGAGCCTGTGAGAAGTTGTAGGGCAGAAGAGGTGGGGGGGGGGGTTGGGGAAGGATTGTCCGCTAATATTCAGAAAACAATTCCAGGTCTTACTAGTAGATCACCTTAAAAATTTAACAAAGAAAAAACTCCAAGTTAAGGAAAAATACTATATGAATTTAAGAATTTTAGTTTTAATCACACCAGAATGGTGAAAACGAAGACAAAATTTTGGAAGCCACCCAAAATTTTTTGCAAGGCTTGTGAAAGCGCTTATCATCACGTGACCTACCATAAGTTGATAATCGTGTCCTCTTTTGTGTTTACCCATTTCCGCGCCGCAAGCGAAACACTAAAACGAAATCAGTGATTGAATAATAAAAAAGACAGAGCTTAATGACGAAGATAGATCAACGAGTCAGTAACAATTCTACAATCCTTACTTGAAGACACAAATCGAAATCGGTGCATTCTGCACATTTGACTCGAAGTGACGTGCAATCTGCTTGGCAGTAGTTACAGTGGTACTCTTCTACGCCTTAAAAGAGAAGGAAAAGTAAAAATTTAACAAAATAACTATAGAAAATGTTGGATTTTGATGAAATTAAGCAATCAAAGGAACAAAATTACCGTTCCCGGCCGCCGCCATTTTGATCACAAAAACAATGCCTTCATATGATATCCCATGATGCCCCTAACGCTCTTTACAGCTGGTTCGAAGTAAAGCGAGAACACTGTAATATCAGATCAGCAGATAGTTAAAGGAATCCCCTTCCAAATCGTCAAGCGGTTACAGAGGTACTTAGTTTAATCTTAACAAAGAGATATTCGTTATGATTCATCCGTTGATCTCGAATTCAGCCATTTTGTTTTAAAATGTGTACCTGAATGCGTTCGCGTACCTCACCGCTCAGGTCACTCCAGACTTCAGATGTAATAATTAATTAGAGAAAGCATGTCTAGTTAAAGCTACATTTAAGCAATTGTGGAAAAGAAGAGTGAAAAAATCAGGCTTCAACTGGAAGGAATCCCATCAAAGTCTGATTTTTTTTTGTCAACTGGAGATTCTTTTGCGCAATTTCACCAGTGAGGATCATTACTTTAATTTAATTTCCTATAAAGGTCATATATTATTGATTTCATTAAACATTGTTACATTTTATTGTTACTTGACAGCTCAGCTAGCAAACACCCAATTTTCAAGATGACAACATTGTTTGACTACCTTACGAAGGATGGCAAGAAAGTGCATAGCCTACGTGTCGGGGCACCAAGTGAACATCTGCGCATGAAATGTGGTGAGCTTATTCATAAAGCAACTCTAGCTCTTCATACTCCAGAAAATTATCCTCAGCTGTTTCAGTATGGACCACACAGTGGAAGCTTAGCAGCTAAGAGTGAGCTCACCAAATTTCTCACCGAGGAGTATGGTGACACTGTCAATTGTGATGACATCTGGTTCACTGCTGGTGCTTCACAAGGCCTGGCCTGCATAGGAAGCCTCCTCTTTCAGCCTAAGACTGTAGCTTTCGTCGAAGAACCAACTTATTTCCTTGCCCTTAAAGCTTTATCAGATGACTTTGGGATGAATTTGGTAGGGGTTCCTACAGATCAAGATGGTTTGATTGTTGATGAGTTGGAGAAATTAATGGCAGAACATTTGCAGACATTGCCAGTTATAACTGAGAGAAATCCATTCTCTGGTTTGCTCTATTGCATTCCAACTTTTAACAATCCAAACGGCTCTGTACTTTCTGTAACAAGGTGTAAGCAGTTGATCAAACTGCTTCGGAAGTACAATGTGCTTGCTTTTTGTGATGATGTATACAACTTGCTCTCTTATGATGGAGAAAAACCTCCTTTTAAAGTTCCCCCTAGGCTTTTTTCATTTGATAACAAGGCTGATCCTGATTACAAAGGAAATGTGATCTCAAATGGAACTTTTTCCAAACTGTTAGGACCTGGCTTGCGTCTAGGCTGGATGGAGGTCCCTGAACATGTAAGAAAGATTTTGAAGACTTCTGGGTATGTTACAAGTGGGGGTTGCTTCAACCATTACACCTCTTGTGTTGTTACCATGGCAATACAAATGGGTTTGGTAAAGGAGCATGTAGCATATACACGAGAGCTTTATAAGTCCCAGTTGAATACACTATGTAGTGCTATGGATAAGTACTTTCCACGTGCAATTAAATACACAAAACCCCAGGGAGGTTATTTTGTTTGGGTTGTTCTCCCCCCTGAGATTGACTGCGATAAACTATATGACATCTGTTTCAATAAGTATGCTGTTGATTTTAACAAGGGCTCACGATGTTCTTGTAAAGGACAATACAAAAATTGTATGAGGCTTTCATTTGCATTTCTTGACAGTCCTACCCTTGAACACTGTGTGAAGCAAATAGCTTTAGCAATTGAAGAAATTTTCCCAAGCAACTAACAATTATGGACTTTGAAGTAAATATATCTAAAAATAGGGGGACTTTTGTTTTTGAAGTGATTACTGTGTCATTTGAATCAAGGGTAGCATTGAGGTAAGGAAGAAATTCTTTTTTGATACTAAACATCATGAAATCCTTTTAAATGGACAGTGATAAATTTGCAAAAAGTATACCAAAATAAATGAATACTGAAAAAGAATAAATCATGATTTCTGACACCAAATGAGAGCTGGTAAATAATTTAAGATTCAGTTCATGATTGTTAAATTTACTTTGATGGCAATTTTTCCATTTTTTAATTTATCTTAGTTTAAGTTGTGCAGATGTATTTATGGGTGAAATAGAAAATAAATTGTAATACATGTTATTTTATAAGGAAGAATAAAAAAGTTTTACTTTGAAGCCTAAGGGTACTCTTCAATTAGAGAGGTTGGAAGTTTTAGTAGTCTTAATTAAATTTTAATGCATGTACTATAATTTTTAGGGGAAAAATCTTAGGAGATCAAAATTAATTTTGGGGTTGAATGGGTTTGTTAATGTAAACGTGCGAGAAAGAGTGAGTACAATCAGCAGTTTACAGTACATTCTTTAATTTAAATCAGGGAAGTTGTAACAAGCAAAATAAGATAAGCTATTTCTAACATGCTTTTATCAGTATTACTGAGTTTGAATTTATGTCTTAATTTTCTCTGTCTGTTAAAATTGCAATAGATAGTAACTTGATAACAAATTTTAGCTTGTTAAATTTAGCATTAATTAAATTTAGTTCATAAACAGTGGGAAGGTTAAATCACAGTTGCTCAACTCAAATTTTATTCTTGGACTTCATACTATGTCAGTAAAATTAGATATTTCCAGATTAGTTGTTTCAAATGTTAATCTTTGAAAGAATTAGTAGTCATATTGTGCACATTAAAAACACATTAAGTTTTTTACTGGGTCTTCAAGTTATTGATACTGAGTGAGCTTGTCATGAGGGTTGGAATCCCAGATGTTAGTCTTGCTCTGGGAAAAATTAAACACACTGTCTTCCAAGGAAATCATTTTGGTCACATTTGAACCATTTGGCTATCATCAAAATAATTGCAACTGCTCTTACTTCTGCACTATTTTAACCCCTGTTCATAAAGGTTACTTGGTCTTCCCAGGAGTTAACTGAATTATTTTCAATCAAATCCCATCATTTTCACTTGTGTGTCATCCCTTTAACACCCCACCCCTCCCCCTCCATCTTATGGCCATCTGGGAGCAGAAATAAAGATGAAAAACTCCTGGACAATGTCCGACAATTGCACACTAGTGTCTAAAATCAGAAACTAGTGTTTAAAATTAGATAGTAGTGTCCAACATTGAACACTAATGTCTTTAATCAGAAGACACTTGGAATCACTATTGTCTAAAGTCAGACACTGGTGCCTAAAATCAGAAACTAGTGTCTAAGATCAGACAGCCATGATAAACCCAATAAAAAAGAAATTGCAAATTTATCTGAAGAAAGGTTGATGCACGTCATTAATAAGCAAGCTCTGAGAAACTTTTTGCCTTTTGTGGTGACATGTACAATTTGCTGTCTTACACCGGTGACAAACACCTCCTGAAAGACTTTACACATTTGATGACAAGTGTAATGCCAATTATAAAGGGCATTTCATCTCTAATGGTTCTTTTTTTAAAGTTCCTTGCTCCAAGGCTGCATCCTGGGTGAATGGAGGTTCCTGAATGAGTGTGATTATTGTTGCAGAAAAGTTTTTAATATGCTATTTGTGGTGGATGCTTTAACCACTACTTATCATGCATTATTGCTGTAGCATTGCAACAGGGGCTACTTAAGGATCACTTATCAATGGTGTGGAGGGTCCTAGAAGTCCTGTGTAATGCATTATGCAATGCCCTAGACACGGATATACCTGAGGGTCAGATATCTTACCAAAGACCTGAAGGAGGATATTTTGTATGGGTCACATTTCCACCAGAAGTAGATTGTGACAAGCTGTCTAAAGTCTGTATGGAAAAGTATCTTGCAGAGTCCAACTATGGCCCTCATTCTGCTGCTAGTTCTGGAAAATTTAAGAATTGCATGAGATTGTGTTTTGCTTTTAATGAATGTGATGTCGTAGAATACTATGTGAGGCAAATAGCACTGAGCTTTAAATAGCCACTGGAAGAGACATGTTAGGGTACTATTTAGAGACATTAATATGATTATTTCCTGTATACAATCCACTCTCTCCATCAAAGTGGAGCAGGAGAGTGTTAGCTTGAGGGAGGTGGTTGTTTGAGTCATTCAAATCAGACCATTATGAATAAAAACAGTATTTCTGGATCCACTGGTTATTGCTATGATTTCCCTTGTCAATCAAATATACAGAGATCCATATTTTTAAAATGTAAGGAAATTTTACATTTGTATGACATTTTGACCCATATCACACACAATTTTAAAAAAAATATGTATCACGAACAATAAATTTGTTACTATTTCAATGATATATGCACCGTTTATTTCTTTTGTGGCCATTCTTTATAATTCCCAAAAAAGCAAGTACATATTTTTCTTAGTTTCCATCAACCATCACTTCAAGAGTGTCTTAAACTTTTGAGGAGAAATTACCTTCTGATCACTTGAGAGTTAGGAGTTAGAGGAATCTAAGAATAATGATTTCAACTGAACTCATGACAACTTGTAGTTTATTTCTCAGTCCCAAACTACACAAATATATTTAGCATTAAAACCATACTTACAATATAAAAAAACTGGAAGTACTTTCAGTGATGCCCTCTACGTTACAATTTTTTTTTCTTGCAGGTTAAATTTAAATAAAAGTAAAATGTTTGTCAAAAGCTTATTTCTTCGCTAATCGGCTTCACCAGTTGACTCAGTAAGCAATTGTAGTGTCAGTGTACACACCGCGACGGCCACTAATTTCAACATCATACCACCGTAAAGAAACGTTTTGCAGGATTTAGGCTGCTTTACACATAAAATTGGGAAAAGAACACGATGTTTCTAACAACTATACTATAAACACATAGTGGAATCTGCTCAAATAAAAATAATCTACGTTAAGTGAACGATCTGTTTACATTACTTATGCCTCTAGCAACCGGGTTTACCAGCAACCGTCATCTGCGATTCATCATCATCATCTGCCCTTGTCTGTATCGGAGAAATCTTTGTCCGATTCAAGATCTTCTTCATAAGGCTCCCCCATTCCAGAATGATCCATCAGATCCGTGAGTCCTTTCTCTATCTCGTCCAGCTTCTTCCCAGTCTCGGTCATTCGTTTCACGATTGAGTCTTCGACATTTTGAAACTTTTCTTGCATGCTCTGTAAGGTCGCTTGGACGAATTGCATCAATTCAGGAACACTTGTGGGGTTTTCCATGATGTCCTGTGCAAAATCGAAGGAAAAGCGAATGAATTAAAAGCCAGATTTTAGAAAAAGATACATTGAAGAAACGTACCAATCTGTTCACGTCCGTAGAAAACAATCAGGATGCTAAGCTATCAGCATTAAAATTCAACAATATAATCACTCACTCTAAACCAAACCGCGTCGCCTCTTCGACTTGAAGAGCTTGTCCGCCCTCAACCAATCAGAAATAAGAAAGTAATCATTATTCATTAGCGCCAGCCAATCAGAGCGGACTTGAGAATTATAGGCTTCAAATAGAAGCAACTTCTTAGCGTGCAAAAATTGATTATATTCTTTGTTTACCATCATTTTCATGCCAAAATCCAATATATATTTGAGAATTGATTTACTGCATATGCTATTTTTAAAAATAGGAGGGGAATTGAAGCAGGAATGTTACGAAAAACAATTCTCTCCATGTCACGCAGAGGAAATCTGCCCTGTTCCCCTGTCTTCCACCCGCAATTGAGGCAAAAAAAAAATGGAAACTTCAGAAAGAAAAGACGTAGACAGTTGTGATTGGTTTTTTTTATTCCTCCAGTAAAACTCCTATCAATTTACTCCCCTCACCACCCGGGTAGTTTTTCTCAAAATTGAGGTTTGTCTAAAACGAGCGTCTCTTGTTGCTATGCAACTAAGAAAGGACCTAAATATTACGCCCGCCATTTTGAAAAAACTTCATTATATGAACTTGAACTGTACGTGAAAGGTTGGAGAGACTCTTTCGATTTCCGATAAAAAATTAGGATGTGATGGCATCCCTACACTCAGATAGATCAGAGCATTTTCCCAAAATTCCAAAACAGAGGCTTGTAGAGGCAAAACCCGGCACACAACTCACTTACTTCGAAGACTCAGGTGTTGATGTGCGCGAGCTGTGGAGGGACCATGGCAATGAGAGACAGTTGTATAGAAATTCTCCACCGATGATCATAGGGCACAGAAAATCTGGCAGTCAGAACAGTTCTCGAACGAGTTCACCGGTTCCCAGACGAAATGAGGTATTTATAACATCTCCTTGAGTAATAATCACTGTCTTGACGACTGATCAGAACAAACTGTCTCTAACTAATGAGCATTCGAGTCATTTAGATCATAATTGGCTTGTTTATTTTCATTAGAACTCCAACATTATCTTTCTGGTTCGGATTTGTAAATTGGCTTTCATGAAGTTGGAAGATCGAGAAAAATGTAGGATGGAATTTCTTTAGTTTTCACAAAGGTAGAAACCGCGGTATCTTGACTGCTAGTGGTAAACTTCAAGATTACTGAAGGGTTTATATATTTCCAAGCATTATTCAGAGCAACAGCTGCAGTATAAAAACTTTTAAAGTGATAAGTTATCAGTGAGAATCACCACATGTGCATGATGTATTTTTGAAATTATCAATGAATTTCTTTTTTTCAAAATTACAAGTGCAAGTTTTGTATCGCAATTAAGCTTGGTTTATCCATCTAAAGAATAAATACATTAAGACTAAACTAGAGGCAAGTTTGAATGGTGTGTACTTTTTATTCCACCAGTGTTACTTCTTTTTACAAACCTACTACACATAAATGCAATTCACAGTATGTTGTAAAGTTTCCCCTATACTAATCAATTATTTAAACTTAATTAAAGAACAGAGAAAATTCTTTAGCAACCAAACACTGCAAACATTGTTAGGAGATGGTATTTGTTAAGGTTTTGGATGTTGTTTACTCAAGGAAAAAACTCAAGGACCTCTTCATGATTCAAGTCTTAATCATCAAGATTCACTTTGCATTGATAAGACTTAGGAAAAAATTTTCTCTCAATCTTTGTAGTTTTGTTTTGTTTCTTTTTTAAGTGTTAATGCATTATGGGAAATAATATTCAATATGTTATTTCTTGCAGAAAGTTAAGTAAATTCAATTAGCCCCTGTCAATCAATGAAAGTTTAATTTTGTTTTGGTATCAAAAGGATAGTTCATTTCTCAGTTTTTTTTTTTTGTAGAATTACTTCTAAAGTACTTAGAGAATTCATTAGTTTTGCTTCTCTGTGTTTCACTGATCATGTAAAATGTGAACTGTAAACTTGCTCCTCTTTTTAAGCAGCAATTGTGAGGTTAAAGTATTGTATGTTGTTTGAAACTCAACATTGACTATTTCGCATCACTTCTCACCTAAGATTTCTTAATTTTTATAAATATTGCTTTCTGTTTTGGGTGGAATCCTGACTCCTACCTCCTATCTACCTTCTAGTCCCCAAAATGTCTCACATTATTTTGTGGTATTTGAAATACAGGTTGAATCAGGGGCTATTGTTTGCCGTAGTCCCTCCATTTCATTGGAACTTGGATCATCTCTGGATGAAAGTCAGCTTTTCAGAGATAAGATTTCAAGACTTCAACAAGAAAGAGAACATTTAAGTTCACAGGTATAAAATATACTAATACTACTATCATTAACACATGCTTGTTTAAGTTTTTATTGAGTGTTGTTCCAGAAGAAAAAAGCACATCAGTGTCAGAGGGTTTTTAGGTTTCCCAGTCCCTACCAGCAATGTGATTTATTATGCAGCCCTAAAAGATATGCTTGCTAGATTAAAAATCGACCTTTACATCAGGAAATGCTGTGTCTCATTCTGTTTTTGAGTTCTAGCCAGGTTATGGTGTTGTCCCATGAGTGCATGCTCTTCACCCAGGCTGAGATAAGCTTTTGCAAGCCTCAGGCCTAAAAGAAAGAAGTTAAAATCAGTCACTATCTTAACAAACATCCACTATAATAAATTGTTATTTATTTCTTCACGACAGTTATCACACTACAGACAAGCTGCAGAAACTGCACAAACAGACCTTGCTGCTGAAAAAGTGGTATCATCTGGTTTACAGCAAGAGGTATGTCACTCTTTTTCATCTATGCAAGATTATTGATAAAAGGAGCTACATCATGGTTTTTCCAGGCATATACAGGGATGAATGTTAATCAGACGCTTTTTTTTTTCTTTACAGCTAAGAGAATCTCAGCAGAGAATATCAGAAAAGGATCAACAAATTATTGAGTTCAAGGTAAGGGAGGATTTAAATTCACTGCCTCATTGAATTTATATCTTTCAATGACTAAGATTAATCAACTGTGAATATGAGAGCAATCCTCTTCACTGTGATGAACACTATGTAAGCAGAAGTGAAAATACTGCCTAAGTAGTGTTTGTTACTGCAAAGATCGTTTCACATTCATTTCTTTAAATCCACAGTCAACATACATGCATATGATTTTCTTATATTCATAGTCATTTATTTAAAGCAGCTCTGTGATAATGGTGATGACTTGCAGGACATATGCATTATGAGTTCATGAATCTTGTATTATGATCATTAAATACTTTTTTAAAATCATTTTTACAGTGTGAGATTGAAAGCAACAAACAAAATGCAGCTAGACAGACAGCACTAGTGCATTCCCTCCGTGATAGAATACGAGAAGCTGAGGATGAAGCAACAGAGAAGGAAAATTTTGCAAACCGTAGTGATGTCACCATATCATCTTTGAAAAAAGAAATACAAACTCAGCAAGATCGTTTGCAGCAGGTAGAGTCATCACTCAAGCACCACATTGCTGCTGAGGAGGAAGCCTCTGGCAGAGCTGCCAAATGGGAGAGTAAGGTATGTGTCGAAGCTGTACACCCAGCAGTGCATGACCAATGGCAAATAGAAATCTCTTGGACTCTACTAGTCCAGGAGTACAAAAGGGTACCAGTCCAATAAACTGTCCAGAGAAATTAAGAAAGCAAAATATGGTTGGGAAATGGGGAATACTCTTGATAAGGCAAGTTGTAAAATTATTTGTCTATTGCCATAGGCAACATGGCCTTGTTAACCAATCAAAACTCAGGCATTTTGATACATCATGGCTTGTTTCCAGTAATCAAAGTGCATTATTAATTTTGGTGACCTTTGTTGAATTGAATTTATTGTTATGTTAATCTGCAGTATGGTGAGATGAAATCCCAGTTGACTCAAGCTCTGCAGCTGGATGCATCTGAAACTTTGTCTGTGTCTCTGCACTCTCTTATTGGAAGGGTGAGTCTGTTGTTAAGGAGGGGGCATTGGGGCTTATTAGAAACTGCAATACTATAGAAAAAAAATCATCTAAAACCAAAAAACCACATGCAAAACTGTCAAAACCAATACATTTTCACATCCCAGTTATTAAAACCCTGATTGATCCAATACATTGATGACAAGTGAAACATACAGAGTAAACTACACTAATTTCATTACAGGATTTATGAATGCCTTGGACTTGGCATTCATATCTCCCAGTATCTGCTTAAATTAACAGCTGCTCTCTCGAGGACCTCAAGCATGGTCTCTGCAGTAGTGGAGTCTAGTTAATTAAGGAAATTCGCGCAGAAGTCCTATATAGGATTGTAATTTTGCAGTTGCAAAAAGCTATAGCTCTGGAAAGTTTCATAAAAAATCCCTAATCTAACATTTCCATGTGCAAACTAAGACCTGAAAGTTTGGAGATTGAATCAATCAGTCACGTGTGGCCTGTAACTTGGTCACCAACTTCGAGGTGGCGTTGATAAAGAAACCCTGACAATGTTTCATGCTTAGCTGTACCCTACATATAGGTGCACCCTCCCCTACAGCTACATGTAGGCTACCTAGGGATTGCTACAATATTCAAATTGGTTTGTCACACATTCATCTTGATAACATTTGCATTTAGCTGCTATTTGAGATCAGTGGAGGCACGTAATTGCTGCTCAGGACAAAGAGAAACCAGAACCCAAATAGGTCAAATAGGAAAAACCAAAAAATGCATCCGATATCAAATCTGAAAACCTGTTAATATTTTTCGCAAAAATGGAAAACCAAATGTTAAAAAACAGAAAATTGGCAAACTGCAATGAACACCAAAACCGAGAAACTGAAGTTTTTTTGTACAAAAGCCGAAAAACCAATATAAAAAATAGTCAAAACCACAAAACCAAAAATCCCAATGCCCTCTTGTTGGAGGTTTGGTCATTTACACTCTAAGTCCTCTCAAAACCTTAAGTATTGTGCATTAATATCGACACACCAGATTTCCTTGGTTGCAACCTACCTCAGTCATTGTTAAATAAGAACTTGTCAAGTGAACATGCTTTGGTTTACAGTTAGTATTACTGAAACTATTTGAAA